GCTGTGGCTGATGTGATGATGATGATGCTGATGATGATGATGATGAGGTATGTTGATGATGAACGATGATGTTGATGATGGCTGATGCTGTCGCTGATGATGAGGATGCTGATGATGATGATGATGCTGATGATGATGATGATGATGATGATGATGATGATGATGATGGTGATGGTGATGGTGATGGTGATGATGATGATGAGGAGGAGGAGGAGGAGGGGGAGGAGGACAACAAGGAGAAGGAGGAAGAGATGGACCACAGTAGACCATCCAATATGCAGCAACGATGCTGCAACTAACCCTTCCGTCCCAAGTCCCTCCTCATGAGTCCCTTCAGGCCATCCTTTTTAGTGCAACAAGGGCACCATTGAGACACCACAGCCCCTTTCCTTTGCGAGGGGCTCAGTGTACCCCAACTGTTTTACAGCATGTCTAGGTTTTCCTCAGGTCTTCTGTGTGGAATCGGAGTTTAATCTAACTTACGGAAAAAAGAGGCCTCGTTCTTGATTGAGGATTTCTTTTGACAGCGTCTCAACTGTATTGGAGAAGGGGGGCAGGCTTCTGAGAGGCACCCCAAGCTTCTTGGAAGGTGCGGGCATTCCTGATTCCGTACTCAAGGGGGGGTCTGATCCCCGCCAGACGGACCGTCTCAGACCCCCTAAACCAGCCATGATAGGGCGGTCTTTTGCCCAGACCCCCCGGAACCTTCCAAGACAGCTCAAAACTCAGAGCCCCCCAACAAAAAGCAGACATCCCCCACGTTAATTCGGCATGGGGAGTGCATGTGGGGCCAGCGCCTTCTAAGAATCAGCCTCCTTTTGAGAAGTCTTGCCACCTTCCCCCAACCCCCTTGTGCGCGCCGCCAGTGTACCTCCTCCTCCTCCTCCTCGCGTTGCTGCGCGTGTCCCGTCGGTCGTCTGTCGTGCCGTTGTCGCGGTCACCGTGTTCTTCGTCGCCTTCGTCGCCTTCGCCGTCCTCTTCCGGTGTCGTCGCCGTCGCCGCTGGCGGCTGCTCGTCTTGCTCGTCTCCTGGGCCCCTCGGGCCCCTGCGCCGAGGGCGCGCGAGGCCAAGCGAGGACAAAGTCGGGCATGCCCCTCTACAGGAGGAATGTTCAAGAATAGTAAAACATACCCGTGAGGGCTTCGCCCCCTGCCGCCGGCCGCCCCTCTCTATCATAACGGGGTCTATCAGAGTCGCGTCGGTGCGTCTCGGCGCTCCCTTCGCGCATGTGGGAGCATCATGTAGGGGCGGATCGAAATCATCAGCGCATATTGAGACGTCGGCGTCATCCGAGTGGCCTTTGGCCCATCCCGCCACCGTGCCTGAGTTGCGGTTCTGAGGCCTCTTGTCTATGTGTTGGTGTTGGGGCGTCGTCATGGGGGGACCCAAGAGGGCCTCTTGGAGGCGGTTTGGGCGCCTGTTGGGGGCCTCTTGGGGCCTCGTGGGGTATCTTTTGGGCCTCTTGGAGGCCTCTTGGGCCCGTCTTGGGCGACTCTTGGGGCCTGTTGGGGCCTCTTGGCGGCCTCTTGGGCCCTCCTGGGGGCTTCTCGAGGCACAATTATCGAGTCCTGCTTGGGCCTCTCTTGGGACCGTCTTATGGCCCTATCGGGCCGTCTTGAGCGCTTTTTGGGCCATCTTGGAGCCCTCTTGGGCCGTCTTGGGGCCCTCTTGGAGGCGTCTTGGGCTGTCTTGGGATGGTTTTGGGAGCTTATTGAGCCGTCTTGGAGCGTCGCAAAGCCGAAAATGCGAGAAGGCCAAAGTCCTTCAAATACCTGAGTCATATCAACGATTTTGGCCTCTTGGGGCTCTCTCGGGGGACCCTGAGAGCGCTTTTGTGGCCTCTTTGGGCCCTCTCGGGCCGTCTTGGAACTAACTTGGGGCGCCTTGGAGCACTCTTGGCCTCGGCACGCGATTATCGCGTAAGTTGCGAAGGTGTATGGCTTCGGGGGCGCGAATTCTGCTAGGGTTTCTTGCCTCGGGACGCAAGACTTGTATAATGTACGATGGTGCCAATGGTTTATTGTTGTTTCAAAATCCGCATGTAGGAGGATATGCCCGACCTAAACCCAGGATCCTGGCATCCTCTACCTCCTCATCCTCCTCCCCTTGCGGGGCCATGTGGCTGACGGGCTACGGCTCCTCGGTCAGGTGGTTGCCCGCCGACTTAAAAGAGTTTGTGCCTTGGGCCTCTGGATCGGCCAAAGAGCCCCAAAGAACTCCTCCTCCTCCTCCTCCTCCTTTTTTTCCTCCCCTTTGTCCCCCCATCACTCTTCATCCTCCAGCCGCCGCCACGGCTTAAGCAATTGCAGGGCGGCCATAGACCTCACGGCATGTGTTTGTTGTTTCCATTGACATGCCAGGTCTGATGTCACGACACAGGCTGCTGGTGGTCATCATGGCCGCGGGAGGATGCCTTCAGCTGAAGTTGGAGAGATGCTCGAGGGAGATGGGAGCACCCGCGACGCCACCGCAACTATGACCACACGCATGGCGATGCGGACATTACAATCCCCTCTCATCCTCTCCTCGTGACAGACAGCAATACATTAATCTGGCGTGCGAGAATTTCGATTGTGTTGCACTTGTTGTAACAGCACAGCGTGCCCAACTACGAGTCCAGCAGCGACGACTTGGACGAAGATGGCAGGTGGAAGGTGGATGGGTCCCTGGCCAGTATACAAACAGCTCTGCGGGTATCACTGTGACGTCTGGGCGCGAGATAAAACAGCGACATTACCGACGTATCACAATTCCAGGGCAGGCCTTTGCTGATCGCTGTCTTGCAATCAGTGGCTTCATTTTTTTTTTTTTTTTTTTTTTTTTTTGCGATTTTACTTTCATTGGTTTGTACTTCCCGCCGAGGATGAAGACAAAGGAGGAGGGAGCCAAGTATGACCGCACGGTGCGGGGCCCCATCGACGGGATCGCAGATGTATTGAGCAACGCACCGAGCAGGAACGTTCCCATATTGTGTACGGACTTGAATGATGGCATGGGGGTTGCACCACCACCGAGCTGTATGAACACTTCAACAGAAGCTACTGGAGAGATGGGGGCGCGGACTGACCACTTGGCGGGACACTTACTACGCGAGCTGCTTGAGAGCCATCATAGGACGGCCAGAAGTGCAGATGTTGGTCAATCTACTTGGCATGGAGCAAGCGGTGTGGAGACCCTCATTGATTATATGTGTGTGCCGACCAGCTTGGGATGTACCAGTGCAGGGACGCTGGCGCAGCTATCGCGGCGGCTACGGTTGATCGGCACCAGAGTACGACGATGCCATATATTCCTGCACATACAATTCCAACTACCTGCCTGGACTCCGACGTGGAGACAGACGACGCGTACAACATGGGACAGGGACAAACTGCTCGAGGCATTCCACGGCTCAGCTGTGCGCGATGATTGCATTATAGCCGTGGAAGAAAGATTGCAGCAGGATGAAGAGCCGATGAGGGACCTGGCATCGAGGGCACCGCCCGGTGCTTTGTAGGCGCAACTTGAGGGAGTGATGGTGAAGATTGGAGAAGAGTAGTTCACGGCTGAGCAGCAAGAGGATCCAAGGTGTGCTGCTTTGCAAATACACCGTCGGCAATTGCTACGACAGCGCCAAGCGCTTCGAGTTCCATTGGGTAACACCAGAGGTGCGACGGTGAATAATGCATTCGACGCCACCGAAGAAGCAGATGCTGCTGAACTCCCAGATGAAGACCGACGGATTTCAGAAGAACTGGGAGCCCTGTCGCGACATATGAAGCGGGAGCGGATACTGGATTGGATCCAGGAGAGAACTATCAATGATATGCGGGAGCAGTGGGGAAACAATACATTATATGATGTATATCGCCTCGCACGGCGCGCAGCAGGTAGCACGTTTGGCACTAAACAGCGCCCCTATATTGCCGCGCAGGTCGCACCGCCGACAGAGAAGGAATGGCTCGACCGCGTTTCACTCCCAGGATGCGAAGGAGGCACGCAGGCTTCGCTCACCCCGTCGTGGATAGATTTGGCCCGAGCCGAGTTGATGAAGATTCGACCCCTGACGCGACCAGTCCCCTGAATGAGCAATTGAGGAAAAAAACCAAGTCGGACGTTTGCGAACTCGAGAGATGGGCTCCGCGAGCTCCCAAGAGAAAGGCTGTGCCGATTTGGGCCGCCCCTGTTGAGCTCTTAGCTATTCTTTTGGCCCCGCCCACGGTCGCCTCGTGCAGACATCGTGGTTTAGGGGCTCCAGGGCCCGAGCTAGACGCGCCAGTTTCTAGATCACACCTCGCAGAACTTAGAACCAGTCTGCGCGCCCGTGTTTTTTGGCGCTTCAGCACGGGGGTCTTTTGGGCAAAAAAGACGATGGCGCCGCCTTTGGTGGAGCGGCGCCGGGGCTTCGAACGACCCACCTCCTCCCCCCGCTCGGTGGGGGCTGGTGTTCCACCCGCTCCACGACCCCAGAGATGCCACCCCAGGTGCTCGCTTTTTTTGCCCCGCAGATGTAGGGGGGATGCCGTTGCCACTTCCCTAATCATGATGTGGCGCGTTCGCAGAGCGGGCCGACTTGGGCCGTTGCACCTGCGTGATCTCACGATCGCGTTTGCAAGTGTGAAGCGGGCAGATACGCGGGCTGCTGCAGTGGGGCTGACGGAGGACGGCCTCGCATGTCTCGGCTGCCAGCAATTTGAAGAAGCCGCTGTGACTTTGCTGTGCGAAGAGGGCTCCCGTTCTTTCTAACCAGGACGCGGAGGCATGATGGGGCGCCCGTATATCGTGCGACAGTTTGCCCAGAGTTCCCAGGCAGCTATCCAGGATTTTGGGGGGCGACTCGAGCGGGAGGGCTTGGCGACGGGGGGATTGGTTACCCAGCGCGAATTCCTGGATCGAGCTGTAAATGTGTCACTCGGCCTGTATGCCGGCGATATTTTGAAGTTTTTGATCCGGGGGCCGCGCCGAGGGATCCAGGACCTTGCTCAGATGAGCGAGCGAGCCACTTCCCTCTTGGATCAGGCCCTGGCCGAAATTGGCTGCGAGCAGAATATGAGCAAGCAAGGAATCGCCCCTGTTCTTTCGGGGCCTGGGTCGGGGACTTATGTGCGTGATCGTTGGGTGCAAAGGGTCGCCTTTCCCGCCCCGCGCTCTGTCCGCGCCAGATACTTCGGAGGACGAGTGGGGGCTAATTGTAGCTGTGCAGTTGAGTATGCGCACCGCAAGAAGGCGGCGGCGGCGGCCCATTACTCCTTTGGAGCTTTGTGGCCTTGAAGCGCGCCCCGTGGAGGGCGAAGCGCGCGCTCCTAATGTGCTGTGCACAAAACACCGCACTGCACTCCAACGAAGCCAATATTTGCTCCAAGCAACAACATAACGAACGATATCATTCAGTGGCGCGACATGCCAGGGGCGCCACGAGAGGAGCTGCGCGCGAATTACGAGACGCAGACACTGGACAACGCCATCGCGCACTCAGCGCAGCACAAGTACTGGGGCACTGGCGAATGGCACCCGCGAGCCTCGAGATGCGGGTGCGGCGCCTTCGGAGGTATCGGACCATGAACGCCCGCCAGTGGAGGAATGGCCATATTCTCACCTCCACGTTCGGCCACTTCTCGTTTGAGGACGAACCGACGCTGATCCAGGGGGACCGGGCAAAATGTGCAAATCCGTGGGCATTCCAATGCCGTGAGGATGTACTTGGGGGAGTAGATGGGCTTGATCTTGATGAGGGGGGCGGTATCTTGGGATGTGTATGCGCGCGGGGTGGGCACAGGTGTTTGCCGATGAGGAGGTGCAGGAGGAGTTTATTAATCAAGATTTCGCAGTCTTACGAATGGGAGTATACGTGTCAGCAGTGCCGCCACCAGAATGGCACCCATGTCAGTTGCCCACTCAATCAACTACTACTGCTACTACGCGCAGGTGGAGGAGGGTGGGAATCTGGGTTCTTATTGGAAGATGGAAAATTATGCACAGCTTGCTTTGACGCATATGAGGCAGTTACGCAGCATAGGATGGCCAAACATGGACAGCGTGATGGGTGGACTAGAATAGCTACCACGAATGTGTGTGCCCATTCTGCCTCGTCGTTTTCGGTTGCGTGAAGACTGCGCGGCGACATCTTCCCTTCAGCGTGGCCATCGGTGGACATAGAGTTGGTCGCTCGAGATGCATGGGGGTGGGGGTGCGGGGTGGGGGGTGGGGGTGGGGTGGGTGGGGTGTGTGTGGGGGGGGTGGGTGGGGGGGGGGGGTGGGGGGTGGGGGGGGGGGGGGGTGGGGGGGTGTGTGTGTGTGTGTGTGTGTGTGTGTGTTGTGTGTGTGTGTGTGTGTGTGTGTGTGTTGTGTGTGTGTGTGTGTGTGTGTGTGTGTGTGTGGGGGGGGGGGGGGGGGGGGGGCAACATCCCGATCGGGTAGATTGTCATTTGCGTGAATTTCGGGCCCGATCCATCGAGCAGCTACAAGGGCATTTGCAGAGTCGCGTGCTACCGTTTATCGGAGCTGGTATCGACGCGGCCATATCGACCCCGCAATGTCCTTCGCCGTGGCCCCCCCCCCCCCTGCCTGGGGCCTGAAGGGGGGCGCCGAATCCAGCTCGGGCCCAGGCGGGCCAGCGCGCGAGGTGCAGATCCAAGAGTTGCTCGCCAGAGGAGAGGGCGTCAGCGCAGTCAAGAAGCTGCTCGTCGTTCTCGCGATGCTCAGCTTGACGAGCGCGGCCGAGATCAGGGAAACCACAGGCGTGCTGTGGGGCGCGGTGCTCGTCGACGCAGAGTCGCACATCGCAGTCGAGATGATGGCCCAGTGCAAGTCCTACCACGAGGCCGCCAAGACGGTGAAAAGGAGACCCTGCCGTTCATGGGCGCCTTGGGCCGCCGTGCGTGCACGTATTCGCAGGCCTCGCGTTCGGCTTGTCGAAGACCCAGATCGAGCTCGACCCGGCCAACGAGCAGTGCCTGACGGAGTTCTGGATTATTGGGGCGGCGGCGGAGGGCAAGGCGCCAGTCGACCTGCCGGGCAAAGCGATGTACTGCAAGTGCAAAGCAGCCAAAGTCAACGCTGGCAAACCAGACCCGGCGAAAGTCGCGATTGCGATGGGCGCGGAGTTCGGCGCGGCGCAGGCGGCGGCCATGGCGGCGCTGGCGCAGAGCGGCGGCGTCGAGAAGCGCGGCCCAGCCCCCGGGCCCCCCCTGGAACGGGCGGCGCAGGACCTCTCGAGGTGCTCGAGGGTACGTCGACGGGCAACAAGTAGAAGCAGTGGGGCGCGCACTTTTGCCGGGGCTGACGGCCATCCAGCGCGTGCAGATTGCGCAGTTCTCCCATCGGCTTCTACAGATGGTAGAGCGAGGAGCTGTCACGCTGGAGGCCGCGCTCCGACGCCCGGGGGCGGCAGACAGCAGCTGGAGCTTGCAGCCGCCCGAGAGGCTGATCAGAGGGAAGGGGAAAAGGGGGGTGGGTGAGTGGCCGGTGGCCGTGGTGTTTCTCAGGCCGCTGAGCCTTCTTCTGGGCGCCAAACTAACCCGCCCCCGGGAACCCACATTTTGAGGATTAACCTGTTCTTTTTTCTAGGAGGTCTGAGGCTGGATGTAGGAAGCGAGCCAGTTGTGCCCTGGATGGTGGGAGTGGCCATTGTGTCCCCGCCGTCCTGGGCGGGGTGGCTCGCCCCGCCCTTAAGCCTAAGAGTCTCTCGTGGTTGTGGGGAGGCCCCTCAGCTCAGTCGGCAAACGAGGGTGCCTCAGTCGTAAGCTGGGCGAGGGCTGCAAAAACCGTCGCTGCTACAACGGCCCTCCCGGAAGGAGAAAACAACTTCCTGGAATCAGGCGCGGCACGCGAAACAGTCAACGGGTTTCTTCCCGGAAGGACGAAGACAACTTCCCGGAGGTCGATTTTAGCAGCCACGGATTTCGCAACCCCTGCCCGGCTTCCGACTCAGACCGCGTGTGCAGTGCTTTTCTGTTTGCACAATTGGCCCCCCAGAAGTTCCTGGATAGGCCCTCAGAGCAAGAACAGGTTTTAATCTGAATGTTACAAACTGGCGAATCCAGCCAGGAGTTGCCCAGACATCTCACGCGAACGGACGAACCTAGTGCCCCCAGAGCTCGATTCCGACTTCGATTCTTCACCCTCCCCTCGCTTCCCCCTCCCCCTCCCCCTCCCTGCCTCCCCTCCCTCCCCGCCCCTCCCCCTCCCCCCCCCCCCCCCCTCCCCCTCCCCCTCCCCGCCTCCCCCTCCTTCGTTCTCCCCGCCTCCCCTCCCCCTTCCCTTCGTCCTCCTCCTCCCCCTCTTCGTGCTCCCCCGCGCCTCCCTCCCCCCTGCGGCCCGGGCGGGCGCCCAGGCCTCGATGCACCACGTGTGGCACACGATCGAGTCCGTGGGCAACGTGGTGGTCTTCTTCCTCGCCGGGGCGCCGGGCCCCGCCTCCCTGCCCTTAGGTCGGGCCTGTCCTTTGGACGCCCGAAGTGGGTACAGAAAGAAGGGGTACAATGCCCAACAGCAGTTCTTTTTCATTTTGAACAGGGTTCGCTGTCCACGCCGCCGCGGCCTGTGTCCATTCGAGACAGGAGGCCGCCTGCCCAACAGCGGCCGCTGTTGGTTTGGGACAACATTTGTTGTTTGGCATTGTGCCCATTTTTTCCGTACCCATTTCGGGCGTCCAAATATCCCTCTGCAGGGGGCGTGTTCAACAATAGTCTGGCTGACCATGTAGCAGTATGTTTTCAGCATTTGCTGGTCATTTTGGAAAACTAGTACGTTTTTGGTAGTATTTGCTGAGTATGTTTCAAATTATTGTTAGTCGTATTTTCAGTATTCAAAACTAGTCTTGCTGACCATTTAGCAACTAGTCGGAGGGTTTTTTTTATTAGTATTTGCTGGCCATTTTGGAATATGTTCTGCGTATTCTTTATTTTTCGTTGCAAATCCCCCTGTAGGGGGGGCACGCCCGACTTCACCCTTCCCGCCGGGCTCCCCGAGACGCTGCTCGGAGCCCCAAGTCGTCAGGGGTAGCTCGGGTCAGGGCTAAGTTTAGGTCGGGCCTCTCCCCCTACAGGGGGATTTTTGGCGACAAATTACACATACTCCAAAATAGTGAAAAGATGCGCAGAAATACTCAAGCAATAGTCCCCAGACTATTTTTTGACTATTTTTGAACATTCCCCCTGTAGAGAGACAGGCCCGACTTAAGGCTGAGTCGGGTTCGTTTTTCGGGAATCCGAGCCCGAGTTACCCCCTGGGCCCGAGTTACCTTGGATAACTCGGGCGTCCCGAGCCCCAAATCATCAGGGGTAACTCGGGTCAGGGCTAAGTCGGGTTCGTTTTTCGGGAATCCGAGCCCGAGTTACCCCCCGGGCCCGAGTTACCCCGGATAACCCGGGCGCCCAATCTCTAGGCCTCCTAGATGGGATCGGAGTAGATGGGATCGGATTATCGCGCCGCATCGCTGATGCATCGGCGATGCATCAGCGATGGGGCTCGATGTGGGGCCCAATTTTCTCCACGCCGACGTCGCCGATGCATCGCCGACGTCGCCAGTGCATGGCCGATGCATCGCCGATGCATCGGCGATGCATCGCCGATGTCTCGGCGATGCGGCGGGATCCCCCGACCCCATTTGGCCTCTACAATCTCCCCTTCCGTTCCCTGCCCTCGCCGCCCTTCTCGCTCACCGCCCCCTCGGAGCCAAGCGCGCCAAGGCCCGCCCGCGTCGCGAGCCCAAGAGGGCCGAGGCGAACAGGCGGCGCGCGCCACGGGTTGGCGCCCTCTCTCTTGCCAGTGTCTTCGGGACTGGTCCCCCTGCTGGCCGCTCGCCCTCCTCTTGCAGGACAGGAGGGGCAGTCGGCGGCACGACGACGAGGGCTCGCGGACCTCCGCCGTGCCTGCGTCCCACCACCACCGTTAAATCGGGCGTGCGCCCCTACAGGGGGATTTTGGGCGAGAAACAGAGAATACTCAGGAAATGCCCCCAGACTGCTCCAACAGAGTCGAAAATTCGTTCCCATACTATTTTTTAATCTTTTTGAAGATTCCCCCTGTAGAGGGACACGCCCGACTTAACACCACCACCACCACCCTCCTCTCCCAATCTCCTCAGACCTCGTTGTCCCCCTCCCCGCCGGGGAGGTGGGAGTGGGGATAAACGGCGGGGCCGTTCGCTGAGGCATGTGCCCAGGAGGCGTCAGACCCTGGAGGATGCGAGGAGGAGGCGGCGGCGGAGGCGGAGGCGGAGGCGGAGGCGGAGGCGGAGGCGGAGGCGGAGGCGGAGGCGGAGGCGGAGGCGGAGGAGGAGGAGGAGGAGGAGGAAGAGAAGGGGGCAGAGGAAGAGGAAGAGGAAGAGGAAGTGGAAGAGGAATAATGACAATAATGATAAGAACAATACTACTACTACTACTACTACTACTACTACTACTACTACTACTACTACTACTACTTCTACTTCTACTACTACTACTACTACTACTACTACTACTACTACTACTACTACTACTACTACTACTACTACTACTACTACTACTACTACTACTACTACTACTACTACTACTACTACTACTACTACTAACTTACTACTACTACTACGACTACGACTACGACTACGACTACGACTACGACTACGACTACTACTACTACGACTACTACTACTACTACTACTACTACTACTACTACTACTACTACTACTAATAATAATAATAATAAGAATGAGTTGAGGAGGAGGAGGAGAAGGAGGAGGAGGAGGAGGAGACGGAGACGGAGACCGAGTCGGATCCGGAGGCGCAGAGCGAGCTGGACGGGGGCGGGGGAAGCTCTCCCCAGCCCCTGCCGCTGCCGCCGCTGCCGAGGCGCTCACCGGCAACGTGATGGGCAGGGCTCGGATCCCTGCCATGGACTACCTGCACCTCGTGGTGCCTCCGCCTGGCACGCGGCGCTCGGCGCGGCCGCGCCTCTCTGGGAGGAGGCGCATGATGATGCTGCTGCTGATGTTGATGCTGATGCTAATGATGATGATGATGACGATGATGATGATGATGATGATGATGACGACGATGATGATGATGATGCTGATGATGATGCTGATGATCACGATGCTGATGATGAGACTGATGATGATGACGATGATGGTGATGGTGATGACCAGGGTGATGACGAAGCTGATGATGCTGATGATGCTGATGATGACGACGATGATGACGACAAGGATGATGATGCTGGTGACTACGAGCATGGTGACGATAAGGATGATGAGGGCGATTCTGCTAATGCTGATGTTGATGATGTTGATCCTGATGATGGTGATGATGCTGGTGTTGATGCTGATGCTGATGATTATGAGGATGATGCTGCTGTTGATGATGATAGGGTGATACTTCTGATGATGATGATGGTGGTGGTGATGATGGTGGTGGTGATGATGATGATGACCACGATGATGACGATGATGATTATGATGCTGCTGCTGCTGATGATGATGCTGAGGATGAGGATGATGATGATGATGATGATGATGATGATGATGATGATGATGATGATGATGATGATGATGGTGATGATGATGATGATGATGATGGTGGTGATGATGATCATGATGATATGCTGATGATGATTATGATGATGATTATGATGATGAGGATGGGGATCGTGATGATTATGCTGATGATGACGATGATGAGGAGGAGGAGGCCCAGTGTAAACTCAGGCAGCGTTTCTCCTTGCCCTACTCCTTGCCCTATTTGGCTACTATGCGTTTCTTTCTCTCCTTGCACGTCCTGTTCTGCACGTGCTGTCTATTTGGATTCGTCTGTCGCTAAGCCTAAGTCGGCCTCGCACTGTTCCTTCTGACAGAGACGCTTCAGCCTCGTCGCCAAAGTCCGACCAACGTAAAAATGTATACCCAAGTTGCATCAACGATGTTTGACCATACCGTCCCTCCGAATTCCTTCTTCACATGTCCCATACAGGACATGTTCTTCTCATTGCGAGTGGTGACCCATCAGAAGACGAGCGTCTGAGAACCCTCAATCGTTGCAAAACAAATCTGGGACTTCAACGCCGCAGATCAGGGTGACTGTTGCGTCCTGCCAACCCTTAACCGTACCAGAACACTATTCCTGCGACTTCAATAACTGCTGCCTCCCAACCATCGTGCCAGAACTCCGTGCTGGGACTCAACCATACGCATCCTTGAAACTGACGAGATTTTTAAGACGAGTGTGCGTGGCGCTGGTGCAAGAGCCACAGTTCCAAAAGGAAGCGCCCTCCATCGGTAAAACATCTGCAAAGTTTCAGGGCGAATGTTCGCGGCTCTCATGCGATAGCCACATTTTGAAAATGGCCTGCCATCTACCCGTGAAATTGCTTCAAATTGAAGTCGAATGTACGCGGCGCTGAAGCGAGAGCCACGTCTTTGAAAATGCCATGACCTCCATCCGTGAAGCTGCTGCAAACTTGACAGGCGACTGCACGCGGCGCTCAAGCGAGAGCCACATTTGGAAAACGACCCGTCCTCCTTCCGTGAAGCTATTGCAACTTGCAGGCTTCAAGATCACACGTGGTGAGGAAGTCTCAGGAACAAAAAACGCCCGGCGCGCCCCGCCGACACGTCTTGGGGTGCGACAGAAGGAGAAAACGAGGAGGAAGGTCCAAGGAGGAGGGAGGGAGGGAGGGGAGGAAGGAGGAGGTAGGAGGTAGGAGGAGGAGGAGGAGGAGGAGGAGGAGGAGGAGGAGGAGGAGGAGGAGGAGGAGAAGGAGGCGGAGGAGGAGGAGGACCACGAGGAGGAGGAGGAGGATGAGGAGGAGGAGGGAGGACGTCAGAGGAGTGAGCGAGTGAGTGAATAAGCGGGTGGGTGAGTGGGCGATTGAGTGAGTGAGTGAGTGAGTGAGTGAGTTGGGGAGTGAGGGAGTGAATGGGCGAGAATGGTCGAAGAGCCCAGCAGCGTATCTATCTTTCAACGGGCGCTGCAAGATCTTCTCCGTCATAGCGCCAGCAGCGGGGACCTAGACTGGGCGAGGCTATTAAGCCTGCGCGTCTCCTGGCACAGGCACCCTCTGAGCATGTATACTTTTTGACAGGGATGATGCCCACGGTAGTTCTTTATATTGAAATTGGAGGGGGGCATCACGAGGAATGCGGCGGAGTCGTGAGCTCCGTCGGGGCCGGGGATGGGGCCGGGAACCAGCAGCACGATGATGATGACGACGGCCAGGCCCGCCGTCGGGCGGGCGCAGGCAGCCAGGTTGACCAGGGCATCACGGCTGACGAAGCGAACCGAAGCGAAGTGAAGCGAGGGGAGGGCAGTAGGAAGAGGAAGGGAAGGATGAAGGATTGAGCCACTGATTGTCACGGCCGTCTCGTTCGGTCACGGACGGGCCGTCATCGCCAAGAGGCCGCCGGGGGAGCGGGTCTCGGTGAGCGGGGGAACTCGTTCTGCGCTCCAGCTTGATGCAGCTCCTCCTCCTCCTCGAGCTCCCAGGAGCTGCCGCCCCAATGCCTTGCCTCCCTTCGTCGCGCCAGGTGATCTACCTCGTCCTCCTGCTCATCCGCGGTGTGCTCATCTTCGCGTCCAGGGCCCGGGCCGCCCCGTCGGCCGCGGCGGCGACGGCGTCGCCGCGGACGGCGAGGATGATGAGGACCACGAGGACCACGAGGGCGATGTCGATGAGGACGAGGGCGAGAAAGAGGTTGCAGAGCAGGAGGAGGAGGAGGAGGAAGAGGAGGAGGATGACGAGGAGAAGACCGAGGAGCACGAGGACGACAAGGACGAGGACGAGGACCGCGAGGACGATGGCGACGGCGACGGCAACGAGGTCGAGGAGGAGGAGGACGACGACGAGGACGAGGACTACGAGGACGACGAGGACGACGAGGTCTTTGTCGACGACGTCGACGAGGGCGACGACGACGACTACGACAACGGCGACGACGACGACGTTGACGACGCCGACGACGAGGGCGACAATGACGACCAGGCGAGCGCGCGATGGACGCGGCGGTGGGGAGCCCGCTCGCCGGGTCGAGCGCGCGAGGAGGTCGTCTTCGTCGTGCGCGTTGTCGTCGTCGTCGTCGTCGTGATTGCCCTCGTCGTCGTCGTCGTCGCCCTCGTCGTCGTCGTCGTCGCCCTCGTCGTCGTCGTCGTCGTCGTCTTTGTCGACGTCGACGTCGTCCTGCTCCGCGTCGTCTATGTCCTCGTCCTCGTCGTCGTCCTCCTCCTCCTCCTCCTCTTCGTCTTCGTGCTCGTCGTGCTCGTCGTCGTCGTCGTCCTCCTCCTCCTCCTCCCTCCCCCTCTTATCCTCCCGCTCTTCATCCTCCTTCTCCTCCTACTCCTCCCCTGCCTCTTCCTCCATCCTTTCCTCCTCATCCTTTTTCCCTTCTCCTCCTCCTCCTCCACTTCCTCCTCCTCCTTCTACTTCTCCCTCTTCTACTTCTCCTCCTCTCTTCCCCGTCTCTCTCCTCCCTTGTCCCTCCGCCTGGCGGTGTGGCGTCGCCTGGCTGCACTGGAGGGGCTTCGGGCTCCAGGGCAGCGGGAAGAGCAGCGGGGGTGGCCTTCGGCTCCAGCCGGGGCCCTCCGAGCTGCGGGGGGTCACATCTGTGTCAAGCCAGCCAGCCTGCCCGAGCAGCCCCGGGAGGGCACCTGAAGCCCTCACCCCAGAAGGGACCCCCTGGGGGAGCGGGCCAAGGAGTGAGGACGGATGCCCCCAGCGGCCCCCCTGAGCTTTCCCGAGGCTCTCGGAGGCTCCTGGACATTATAAGTGGAGGCTCCGGGCGCATTTTCGGCTGCTCTCGGAGCCTCTCGGGCCGCGTGCCCACCTGATGAGCGGCCGCCCCTCCAGAGGCAGTGGGGCCCTGCCAGAGAGCAGATCGGGGGTTGCCAGAGGTGCCCCTGGCCCAAGGTGCCCCCAGCTTGTCGCTCCGCTTGGGCGCCCCTGGGGCCCCGCTGGGCCTCGTGAGGGGTGCCCTGGAGACCGCGGGGGCCTGCCTGGGCATCCTGGGGGGCACCTTCGGCCAGGGCACGGCGACTCCCGGGCAGGGGCCGCACGCCACGGCTGCTTCCGCGCGGTGGCAGCGGTGGCATCGAGGCGACGTTGGCACCCCTCCCCCCGTTGCCAGGCCGCTCGCGTGAGGGTCAGTTTTTTTCGGGGGGGGGGGGGGGTCGTCGTGGCCGTCTGCTCCCCCCATGCCCCGTCACCACCGCTCGAGCAGCAACGTGCGATCGGGTTGCTCGAATCAAGTAGCTACCCCTCCTTTCCCCCACCCCTCCCTCCCTCTCTCCCTCCTCCTCCTCCTCCTCCTCCTCCTCCTCCTCCTCCTCCTCCTCCTCCTCCTCCTCCTCCTCCTCCTCCTCCTCCTCCTCCTCCTCCTCCTCCTCCTCCTCCTCCTCCTCCCCCTCATCCCTCCCTTCCTCCCTCCCTCCCTCCCGTCCCTTTTCCACGCCCCCCATCGCTCAGTCGGCGGGGTCGTCGCGATCTGCGCCCCCCCTCCCCTCCTTGCTGCCGCGCGAGCCGCTGCTGTCGCGCCTGAACGTCGGGAAGCAGAGCCCGCCAGTGTCGCTGGGCGAGGCGGCGGTGATGACGTGGGGAGGCCCCGCGGAGGAGTGATGAGGGGGAGCGAGGGGGGAGGGGGGCAGTTGGGGGTAGGTGGAGCAGGAGGGGGAGCGCGACGGAGGGGGAACAGGGGGGGGGAGGAGGAGGTGGACGAGAAGGATGATGAGGAGGGGGAGCGGGAGGAGGAGGAGGATGAGGAGGAGGAGGAGGGGAAGCAGGAGGAGGAGGAAGAGGGAACAAGGTGGGCAGGATGATGATGATGATGATGATGATGATGATGATGATGATGATGATGATGATGATGATGATGATGATGATGATGATGATGATGATGATGATGATGATGATGATGATGATGATGATGATGATGATGATGATGATGATGATGATGATGATGATGATGATGATGATGATGATGATGCTGATGATGATGATGATGATGATGATGATGATGCTGATGATGATGATGATGATGATGATGACGACGACGACGACGCTGATGATGATGATGCTGATGCTGACGATGCTGAGGATGATGATGATGATGATGATGAGGATGATGATGATGATGATGATGATGATGATGATGACGATGACGATGATGATGATGATGATGATGATGATGATGATGATGATGATGATGATGATGATGATGATGATGATGATGTGAGGAGGAGGGTACTGAGGGTACTGACTACGCGGGCGCCACGTGGCGCCCCTGGCCGCTCCGCCACGAATTAATCCTCATATTAATTCTTTACGCTTCGCGTATCCCCACCAGCCCATCTCACAGCAGCAACTCTTGCGAAGCATGCCGACAGTCGTGTTTTTCAGGCGTGTGTCCGCTTGGCCCCGCATATCTCCCCTGTTCCTCCTTCCTCCCGCCTCCTTGTACATCCTCCTTGTGGGGGGAGCGGGAGAAGGACGAGGCGGAGGAGGAGGGAGAGAAAGCGCTCCTCGTGATTTGAGTCGTTTGGGGTTTCTCGTCCTGGTGTGAGTCGTTCGGGCCCTTCTTCCTGGTGTGAGTCGTTCGGGCTCTTCGTGGTGTGAGTCGTTCGGGCTCTTCGTCCTGGTGTGAGTCGTTCGGGCTTCTCGTGGTGTGAGGGCCTCTTGGGGGCCTCTGGGAGGCCTCTTGGGAGGCTCCTGGGGGCCTCTTGGGGCCATCTTGGGGCCTCTGGCGACCTCCTCAGAAGCGCAAGTGAGCGCTGCCCCCAGAGAAGGACAAAATGATGCCAACACCTTTGTAAAATCAATGATTTTGCTATGAAGGACGATGAGCGCGGCCCCCTACTGGGGTGAGTCGTTCGGGCTCCTCGTGGGGCCTCGTGGGGGCCTCTTGGAGGCCTCTTGGGGCGTCTTGGGGCCTCTTGGGGGCCTCTTGGGAGCCTCTTGGGGGCCTCTTGGGGCCTCTTGGGGGCCTCTGGGGGGCCTCTTGGAGGCCTCTGGGGAGCTTCCTGGGGGCCTCTTGGGGCCAGCTTGGGGCCTCTTGCGACCTCCTCAGAAGCGCGAGTGAGCGCTGCCCCCCGAGAAGGACAAAATGGGGCCAAAACCATCGTAAAATCAAGGATTTTGCTAGGAAGGAAGATGAGCGCGGCCCCCATCAGGAGGCCAACATGGGGCCAAAACCGTAGTAAAATCAATGATTGTCGCTTCAAAGAAGAGCAGAAGGGCCTATCTCCGCCCCCCCGTCGGGGCCAGAATCCTCGTGAGGGTCGTCGTTTTTTAGCCATCCCAGGAGTCGAAAACGGCCCCTCTGACCACCCGCCGGACCCCCTCTCCAGGCCCAGGGGGAGGTAGGGGGAGGGGTAAACCCCTCCCCGAAGGGGAAGAAGGGGGGTTGAGGACAGAGCGGGCTCTCTAAACCACTCACGCCCAAAGGGCTGGTGGGATTCAGACACCTCAGGAGCTCTCTGACGGGACCTCTCCCACCGCACAAGCTCCTCAGGCGAGGGGAAGCCATGCAACTTGGCAACACTGGTGGCGTCAAGACAGGGAAGACATAGCAGTCTGCTGGCCTGCTTCGCCTCCCCTGCGACGCGGGGTCTCGCACTCCCCGCCGACGCCTGGGGCTCGACCCACCCTTCATCACCTACAGAATCGCTGCTAGGAGCAGCAGCAGCAGGAGCAGGGGCAGGCTCAAGGAGTGGCCCCCATACAGCACGCATCTGAAGGGTCGGCCCATGGGCCGCCCCTACTTGAGCATTCCCAAGGGTGTGCCCTGGGAGCAAACCTCGGCGGAGCTTGGACCTCTGGGTCTTGAGCCCAGGATGACCCGCTCCCTTACACTCTCCCTGCAGTCCCCGAGCGTTAGAATGCGCTGAGGCACCGCAGATCTTACATAATAATATTGGCGACAGTTCCTGGCCTTGATCTGATGCGACGCTGGCCTGCACAACACTGTGCCCTCGCAAAACCCAAGGTACACCTGTGGCAGCAACAAAGCCAGCGTCGACACCATGGGGTTCTTCCGTACCAGCAGGGGAGGAGGAAGGACTCGGAGCAGAGGAGGGACCAGTCTCATTCCCCTCGGCCAGGGACCAGTCTCCAAACGGCGCCCTACCTTCCTCCAGACAGGCACGAATTAGAAACTGGGGCAACTCTTCATCTAGCACGATGTCCCCTGCACCAGAAATATCGACATAATCTGGCTGCTCTAACTCTCCGAAGAACTCCTGACACCTGCTCTGCCAGAGCATTATGTCCGAGGCAATTCTTTCACACCCCGAGACAAAGTCAAAATGGCCTCTAGACACATTCCAAAGCTTAGCTCCATCCAGCCTTGGCCCACTTGTCAGCCATGGCATTGCCCTTGATGAGCCACGCATCATGATCAGACCTAGAGCCCCTTAAACTCCTGTGGGCAGCTACCTTGACAATCGAGGCCTTCCTACCTAAGTCGGACCACCGGGTCCTCCACATGTGCGCACGTGCATTAGAGCTGGCCAAGGCAACACTGGAGTCGGTAGCACAACCGAAGGAAGCAGCACAATCGGTGTGCACAACTAAGGGATCTTCAACCGACCACTCAGCAAACAGAGAGAGAGAGAGAGAGAGAGAGAGCATTTGGAAAGCCCAGTCCTCCCCGTCGCGGGCGGACTGCGAAGGCGCCTGGTGGAGCGGCACTGCGCCGTACATGGCTCCGACGAGCTCTCCAGCACGATTGACCTGAATCACGGCCCAACCTGCCCGACTCAGTGCCTGAAGATGACTGTGGAAAGCAGAGCCGTCAACAAACACGGAGCCCGAGAACCTCCAACCAGGAAAAACACCGACACACCGCACTCGATTTTCTTCAGGGACTTCCGCCACGGGGGGGCAAAAAGGAAACCGATGGGGAAGAGACAACGCGCCATCATCTCTGCAGCTTCCTCTCCAAGGCTTCGCACATACATGGCTGCCTGCATTACATGGGTCGGGCATTCCTCGCGACGAGGAACGGCGCTCCGAGGGCAGTCATAGAATCTATGATGAAGCGTGCCTCGCATGCCACAGTGCAAACAACGATCATCCACCGCCTTTCCGTGCGCGTGCAGGCGCGCCTGGGGCCAGTGTGACCCTCCCACCAGACTTCTGAAATCAGCTGCTCGGTGCACACTCCATCGCTCCGAGTAGTCCTGCTCGAGCAGCTTGCCGACAGGTCCCCAGTGCAACGGGTGAACCCAGGGCGCCTGCAAACGTTTCAAAGCGTTAACGTCAGACGCCTGAAGGGCCAGGGGCCGAATCAAATCCACGAAGAAGCCAGGCGAAACATCCAAAATCTTGAAGTCTCCGAGTCGGGGGTGCCTCGGACTTTCTACCGCTGGCAACTGGCATCCAATCCTGGCGAGCGAAAGGACAGCCGCCTGAGCTGGATCTACTACCTGAGCCCAAGGCCGATCTTTGAAGAGGAGCGGCTGCGCTTCCTCGAGACACGCCCGAAGCGGACCAATGCCTGGCATACAGGAATGCACACTCAAAGCCCAATGCTTGACTACATAACAGACATGCACAATCCAAGGATCCCTGGTGGACCCTCGCTGCGTCGACCTCAGACGAAGCGCCACAGAGGTTCCTGGAGGGGCTCTCCCTTCTGCACGCAACGAAGCAAGTCGCAAGGCGGCGAGCTTAGTGTCAGCGATGCCAGTGGCCGCCGCCCCCCGCATCGCCGTCGCCGTAGGAGGCCCCCTTCATTATAGTGCTGACACTAGCTCCTGCCTGCCTGAGCGAAAAAAAACACGCTTTGAAACCGATGACGCTTTGGCCAGACGTTTGTTCTGCTCTTGAACACCCCTCGGTGCGCCATCAGTGGCATCCGTGCCCAAACACCTGATGCGAAGTTTCTGCTCATGGCCTAGGCTCCATCTCTCGTTTAGCTCCGAACCAAGCTCCGCTGAACTGGTCATATAACCCGTTTTGTCCCAGTTGTCAACAAGTTGCCTTTGCTGAAGGCACTCTACTAATTCGGACAGGGCTTGTGGAAACTGCTCGAGCACATTTTGCCTGCCTCCAATCGCCTGAAGCAGGGGGCCATCTACCAGGTTTTGAAACCTCACCATAGGAAACTTAGTTACATTGACGCCTCTTAAAGTTAGCCAGCTTTGTTTAAGAGCACGGGGGGACCTTGAAAGTGGGGGCAGGCGGAGCTGGAGCGACAACCCTACAGAAAACCAACGACCTGCCATGCAGAAGCACGACTATCCAACTCAGCAGCCGAAGGCACGGAAGCAAGTGCCGCCAGCGAGCCTAGAGGGGGAGGTCCCCCCGAAAGATGTTCAAGAGGCGAGCCCGAGCCACCTTGGGCCCAAGTCCAGAGCGGTGCCTGACCTGGCCTCGGGCCTATCAGGGCCCGCGATAAAACTCGGAAACGCATCAGTCCCTGGGATTTAGCCCCCAGGGTGGGAGCGGTGGGGCCGAAACTGCAGCCAAGCAATAGTAATGACATGCAACGAATGGATGCAATGAAGGCGGCTAGATACATTGACGATGCTACTGTAAAAGTGTGTTTGTAAAACGCGTATTTACATTGACGCCTCTTAAAGTTAGCCAGCTTTGTTTAAG